AAGAGTCTAATCTTCATCCAGATTGGAAGCTTACCAACAGTGTCAATGGCTGGACAACAGATAAGATAGGCCTTGCATGGTTGGAGTGTCTATTTGACCCATTTTCCAAGCTACATTCAACTGGCGCAAAGCGATTACTTATTCTTGATGGCCATTCAAGTCATCAAACCATTGAATTTGACAATTTCTGCAAAAAGAATGCAATTATCTGCCTTTGCATGCCTCCACATTCACCTCGTCTTCTTCAACCTCTGGATGTTGGTGTTTTTGGACCGCTTAAACATGCATATAGCAAATTAGTTGAGGGCATGATGGTGGCTGGAAACAACCATATTGATAGAGGATTTTCTCCATATATTATACCCTTCTACATGCAAAGCAGTTTTTACTGAAAGGAATATATGTAATGGGTTTGCAGGATCTGGTCTTAAGCCACTCAATAAGGACCAGGTTCTTGAGAAAATCACCTTTCAACTTCATACACCAACACCACCACCTCTTGCTGAAGGATCAATATCATCTGCATTTCAGACACCTCAGAATCCCCGCCAGCTTGATACACAGGATGAAGCCCAGATTGAAGATCCTATATCTCAGCCTCGCAAGCGAGCTCCACAACGCTGTAGTGGCTGTGGGACTGTAGGACATACAATAAGAGATTGTCCTAGTAAATAACTATTCATTTTATTTTTTATATAGCTTTAATATCCTTGTGGTTGCGGAGAAAATGGTCAGCTCGGTTGTATGGTCAGCTCGGCTGTGGATTACGTTACAAGCTAGATACTGTAGTATCCTATATACAAGATCTAGTATTTGTAGATGTTTCGCAGTTGAGATATTGTGGTGTTGAAAACTGCCATTTTATATGAGATACAGAGGCGCGCCTCTCGGTGATAGGTTACGTTATACTAGATCTTAGATTAATAAAAATCTACTATAAATGTAATGAAAAAAGGAAGGTTTGCTAAAGTATTAATTTTAATTCTCATTTCAGTGGCCCGGAAACCGAAGAGTATAGAACTAAGACTAAAAGTATGTTAATTAATAAGTTATGGCATAGAGATAATAAAGCCTATAACCCCAATATTACTGTTAATATAAAGCATGGCTTAAAACAAGAGTGTGGCAGCATTAACAGCAGGCCTGGTGCGGTAATGTATAATATAATATAATGATGTTTACTACAATCTAGACAATACTAGCAGAGATGGAAGGATACAGGGATGGTAATAGTGAATGAGAGGAGATAAGAAGTAATCAGTTAAGATAGAATGAATCGTAACAAGCCAGTCAGATACAGGGGTAGACAGATCGCAGAAAGAGATGTATTTAGAAAACAACCATTATGAGGGTGAATATAAAACATATATAATCTTTTTCCTAGATATTTCTGAATCTCTTATTGAAATTAATCTTAATATTAGGATATCTGAGTATATATTAGCACTACCAATATAAAACTTAAGGAACCCCTCTACTGTAACGGCATGAACCACTAGAGTGTCATTCCCAACCCGCAATTCCCGTTCCCGAACCCTTCCCATCCCGCATAGGGTCGGGAATTGGGACCAATGCCCAATTCCCGCAGTTCCCGTTTACTCCCATAGGGATGGGTCGGGTTGGGAAATGTGGGAAATGGGAGTGGTTCATATTCCCGAATTTCCCATTACATACTATTACAATACTTAATCCAACCATGGTCATATTATGCCCTTTGATGGATGATGGATCTTTTCGGTCATGTCTATAGATTGCGCAGTAATGCGGTCCAAATATATATATATATTATTGCAGCGGAGTTGTAATTTCTTGTACCAACTAATATTGATTTTTCTGTACAGAATCTGCCATTGGAAAAAAATATTAAAAATACTAAAAAACAGAGAGGAATCCACTTTATTATATATATATATTTTCAGAATAAAAAAAGTCGCTAATTATAGATATAATGTGTGGTAAATTTGCATCGAAAATACAAGGCTACAATAAGGCAGTCGGGTTGGGAATAATGGGAACGGGAATTCCCATTCCCATCCCGATTCTAACTGTAGTTAGTTTAGTGCATCCATAAATGGTTAGCGCTGTCAATCTTTGGGAAATGTGGGAAATTCCCGACCCTTCCCGGCGGGAAATGGGAATGGGAATGGGAGAGAAATATTTTTTTCCCAACCCGCATGCGGGTTGGGACTAAGGTGCCCATTTCCCTACCCTACCCGACCCGAATGCAACTCTATGAACCACCTATATAAGTCAGCGCAGTACTAAGCCTGTCGGCTTAGTATCCTAGTCTTTTGCTCCTGACGCAGCGGTTATCTCTCTGGAATGCGCCCTAGATGAGTGGCCGTGACATCTACATCCTTTAAGATAAAAAGCTGTTTAAGAAAGTGCAAGAAAAAAAAGCTAAACTATATCAAAGTGAAATCCAGCGAGAGACTGGAAAAGGGCTGGCTGATATGAATGAAGATGGTGGATAGAGTGATATAGACATGGGATAATAAGAGGACACAGATACAGAGAATTATAAAGGGATTATTCAAAGACCATAATATGGCTGAAAAAGGAAGTAGCAAGAAGCTGACTATGGCCTGTGAGAGAGACTGCACAGGTGGCAGAAAATGCTAACTGGAGCTACCCAGGGTGGTGAGCCAATGAGAGCCTGGAGCACCAGAGGTATTTAAAAAGTGTATATAGTTGTCATGTTATTGATTATTGCATTAAGAAATAAATTGATTTAGTTTAATAAAATTAAATTATTATTTAAATATCTTTAATTTATTATTCTATTCTTCAGATATACTTTTATATAGTAATAGTGAGTAATGAATTAAAGATTTTGCTTCCATGTTAGATAGCTAAATCTATTAATTTCTTTTATAGTTTCTGCTCATCTGGATCTTCTATTTTAGAGGTTGAATTCTGTCTAGAAAATAGTTATTATTATTATTCTTCAGTCAGCTTATTATTGTTAGGTTCTTTAAACATTAATAAAATCAAATTTATAAACTTGCTGAAGTTAATTTTAAAGAGTGTATGCTTAAGAGGCATGGTATAGAGTTTTCATCAGACTATTTCAATAAGGAGTAATCAGAATTATAAGTCTATAAATTAAGGGGGTGAAATAGCATGTTGAGAACTACATATGTAGTAAAGTTAATAGATAGAGGAAATATACAATTAGTATGATCTATGTATAAAGACTGATTGCTGGTATTTAACAATTACTAACTTTAAGCTGTGCATGTCTAATCTTAGATATACCTTGAAATATGTAGGGTCTGAAAATTAGACAATAGTAAGCAGTTTTATACATAATGCTCTTTTTTCTCATTGGTCAGTCTGGCTACCTTGCTGATTAAATAGCCATATGCTATACTCCTTTTTTGGCCTGACAGTCATTTCAATATCTTCAAAAGAGTCAGTGGCTTGTAAAGAATATAGTTATATTATTTTATTAATGGTGTCTACTACTGATAGCAAGGTATAGTTACTAGCATTCATAGCATTTAATTTGAGAGGTTTGGTTTATCTTGGAGATGTAGAGATAATCCTAGACATTTAGAGATTAAACTGAAATTAGTTAAAAAATATTTAATATATCACCAGTCTGAGATCATTCATCAATATATGGAGTATGGTTAGATAGCTCGAATTATTTGCCATAGCCTTACTCCCTGAGAGCACATCGGTGCTTTATTATTCTTAATAGAGCATAAATGTCAAGCCCTAACCTGTATTAATAAGCAGCCATTGCCATATTTGTTTTACGCATTGACATGGATATTGAAAGACTAGCCGGCGCAATACAAAAGAATTCATTTTTTAGCCATTTTTTAACAATAACTTTTAACTCATCAAAAATGTAAGCCCTGTAATCCTTAGCCAACATATTCTTATGTCATCAAGTATGGATTCGTCAGATAAGCGGATGGAAAGATACTACTCGCGACTTCGCCCGCCAACCACTTATCCGTTGTTGGCGGGCTACACCGGAACGTAAATATCACCGCAACGTAAAATTCCCCCCTACATCCTGATTTTTCATTTATAAGACGCGTTTATACATGGAAACAGTATTTTGTATTCAAGTCTCAATACTACCAGATGAAGTTATGGTGATAGTTGGAGATATGACACTGAAAAAAATGGGAGACGCATTTTTGTATGTTTTACGTTGCGGTGATATTTACGTTCCGGTGTAGCCCGCCAACAACGGATAAGTGGTTGGCAGACGAAGTCGTGAGTATACCCTATATGAGGGTAGATCAATCAATGTATGACTTTATAGGTGGTTTTAGTGGTTTAAATGGATAATTTTACTTGATTTATTTTTTAATTAATTAATTATTTCTCCCCTGTCACAACCTAGCTTCTCCTCGTATCGTAACCTAAGGTTCTAGTTAGTTAAGTCTCAGTTGGGGCACTCACCTGAGTGTCCTTCGTCGTCGTCGTTATATCGATAATGACCCTTCAGGTCTAAGTCGTAATGCGCCGCGTGGTATCTCGCCCCAGTAAGGCTCCGTAAAGAATGCGCTGCTTGGTATATCGCCCCAGCCAGGCTCCGTAAACAAGTAATCCAAATAAGGTGACGAAGTAGAGAAACAAGGCCAACTAAGTACGTATACTTAGTTGTTGGTTTAGTGCTGACGAGTCTGAACTAGAAAGGTAACCAATGCTTTATTGACGAAGACAATCGCGAAGAACTCAACTAAGTACAGGAATGAGTGTCCTTATATATCCTCCACGATATCAGTATAACATCCCCGAAGTATACTGGTATACCCTATACAAAGCTAATAGTATAACTCCCGACTTGTATACCTCCTGCAGGTCACGTGAGGTATGTCGTACTTCCTTAATGCTCAGGCCATGATCCCTGCTTAACTCACTGATCATCCCATTGAGCATACCCAATGATTCTGCCTTGACTCCCCGCATCGTCACGTGAGGCTGACAGGATAAGGTCTGTAACATCCCCCACTAATGTATATATAACTGGCACTCTCAACTTTGGTATATAGTATATACTATTCAAAAATATATAAACTACTGTTTTCAGTGGTTTAATGGCAAAAAACTACACTTTTGCGTTGGACTGGCGCGCTGGGGACGGACGGCCCTTGGCGGCGAGTAGACAGGTTGTGCCTGGCCCACTGAGCTGCAACACCCGCTACAACATAGTTAGTAACCAAGGAAAACCTATCAGTTAGAGTTGTGAACTTGTGAGTTGTGTAAATGCTTATCCTTCTTTCTATGGCTGAAATTTGAAATTTAAGCTACAGTTATTGGTTTATAAACATGAGAATCATTCACTGAGACAACTTTTCCTATTCTCATATCCAAAGACAATGGGCATACCACATCTAACACGGCACTTGCTCCCATATTCAAAAGATGTCCTATTGGCAAGGGGGAAACAAAGAGAGGGAGATGACAGCATCCAGTTGGTTGTCATTGACGGGCCCAGCTTGGTCTACCATGTCTTCCAACGACTGTTGTCTAAATCAAACACAAAACTCGGAATTCTAGATGCTCAGCCGACTTGCGATGAAGTCAGTCTCGGGGTAATGGTCTATCTCCTGCAGCTAAAGCTCCTTGATGTGAAAGTGTAATTATGCATGACCCATACACAGAAAGTCGATGGTACTGATCTATACCAGGACCAAGATCTGCTTTGATGGAGCTTTGCCTATAACGAAACGAAAGATAAGACTTTGTCGACTGGAAAAATCAAGGAAGAAACTTGAACAATTTCACTCACAAAACCGGTTGGGATTTGCAAAACCAGACGATTCAGTCGAAGGCAGCACTGTTGATCCTACAAAGGTTCTACAGAGCCGAGCCATACCTGTCAAATACAATGGCCTCCCTGAAAACCCGTTTATGGTGTCTACTGTTTTTGAAGACCTGAGAAGAAGATGGAACAAAGCAAATATCCTGATGGCAGTGCAAGACACATTTTACTTCAACCACCGTGAGCTTGGAGAACAAGAATTTCCCTGGGCAGCCATTACTGTAATGGTCCCGGGGGAGGCAGATTCCGAGTGTGCTCGCATGTCGAGGCTTACAGGTGCCGCTGTACTGACCAATGATTCAGATCTTCTTCTTCATGATCTTGGATCTTACGGTTCGGTACTGTTTTTGGATTCGGTCGAACTTAGTGAATGGGATCCATCTAGACCAACAGATTCCAAGGTCAGAGCCAGAAGAATCTGTCCTGCATCGCTTTCCAGCCGATTGGGAATTAAAAGTGTCCGATACCTTGCATATGAATTGAGTCAGAATCCACAATTTGGTTTATCAGAGCTCATTAGGCGATCGAGAGATAACTGCGACTTTCTCGACCTCGAACCTGACTATCAACACTTTCTTGAGGAGTATGACTACGGGCCAAACAGCCGAGCGATAGTCCAGCACCCCCAGGACCTTGACCCAAGATTATCAGAAATATTCTTGCAGTACGACACTGGAAATGTTCATTTCACTGGGGGCTCTCCGCATATGTATCTTGCTATTTTAAGTGAAGACCATTCCAGGAGATGTGCATGGGAAGAAGGTCGTACGTACAGAGCTCTCGGCTATTCGGTCTTCAACTTGTGCCGTCCGTTCGCGGAAAGATACCAATTCGTGGAGGAATACGTTCGGAGAGGTGGGAGAATAGCTATAGACCGGATAACAATGGGTGATGAAGGTTGGGTGGCAAGCGAGATGCATTCCTTTTATACACGCTTGAGCTTTGCTCAAGTTGCGTTTGGCGCAAAAGTTTCGTCCTCGTGCTTCTGGAGGTTATTCGCGATGTGTGAGCTATTTTGGGATGAAACAAACCATACTGCACCCCTCGAAGTTGATCGATTGTGCAGGTTCCTTAGGTTCGGCTATATGGGGAATTCAGTTGGCTGGGCAGATGTCCATCTTTACGCTCAGATTAATGCCGTGTTGTACTCATTAAGGATCTTGAAACAGCTCCTCGGCCTTGTGACAGTGACTGAAGAGCCTGTGTCGAGGGTGAAGTCTATAATTGCAGCTCTCCCACCATTGCATGTTATGATGAGATCAAGACGCGAAATGATAAGAGAATATCCCGAGGATTTCTCTGTTGAGAAAGCCCTGCAACGCTTCTCTCTTCTTTCCGGCCAACATGTGCAAACCGATGAGGAAATGCGGCCACCATATTCCACATCACAAGATCAGGGAAGCCCTAAGTCTAATTGCGTGAAGCATGTTCATAGGTCGAAGTCAAACTTATATGAGATCCTCTCTCCAGAATAAATAATGTTGAATCCTCCCTTTGCTTGTAGTAGAACAGGACCATGCTGGCCCTGCAGCCCGTAGGTTTTCAAAGGAAAGACAGAGAATTCCTGAATTTATCAACCTTGGCATGGATCCTCCACATCTGGCAGGGAATGAGAATCACATCATGGGGTATGTCCATTGATTTTGACAAATCATTAATTGTAGTTTACATTTGAAGAAGCAGACAGCGTAGATAGTAGGACAAAACAATTCAGCGTGAAGACCTCAGGAACCCTACTACCCCATGACAGTACCCGACTAATCCGGCTAAGCGCTCCCTTTCTTGTTCTTGCAACCGACTCCAGTCAGCAAGAGCTTTTCGCAAGTGACCCAATTCATTATCGGACCCAATAATATCAGCGTGGATCCTCAGAAAAACCGCCATCCATACATTGACCAACTCAAAGTCTTTTTTGATCTGTAGGCGACTTGCCAATGCGAAAATAAAGTCCAACAGTTCTGACTGACCATTCTTTACCTGCGGATTAAGGGATCTGATTTCCAGATCAATTTTTGTAGGAGATAAGCCTTTAATATGTTCAATGAAAGGTTCAAGATTGCCAGATAGACGACCAGCTCGTAGGAGGGTTGTAAAGGGCGATTCTAGGACCTTGGAATCCCGAGAATGCTGGATCCTGGCAACGCGAGAGCGCTCAGCTGCCGTACTCTCAGTCGAGAACTTGGAGTCGGCATCTTCCCCAGCACCCCCACCGGGAAGTGATGGAAGGAAAAATGGTGCCTTTTCTGGCGCCTTTGGCGGATCCTTGGCCTTGTTGCGTTCCTAGACCATTGTTAACATCGGCCGAAGACAAGAAAGGATAGTACTTACCTTAATCACATCCAAGTGAAGTAACGTTTGCCATTTACTTTTAGGAACAACACTCAACGTAACCATCTCTTGGCTGAGTTGTTCAGTGGAAAGTACCGGTCCCTCGATTTCACCCTGTTCATCAGTCTCTGAGAATGCGGCTTCGATAAGACCAGCACCACTTTCTCCAGACGCAGTTGGCACTTGGATATCAGCGATGTAATCCTCATTCACGTTTTTGGTTGACACTGGCATGAACAGGCTCCGGTTTGTCCAGAGATTGATGCCCACGCCATCTGCGTGAGCGGTGGCTAAATATTCACCAGTAGACGACATGGTCAACGCGGTGCATGTGTTAGGGACGCGGAAAGCATCAATGAGGTGTCCTGTTGGCAAATCCCAGACTCGGACAATAGAATCCATTGATGCAGCAATTACCCACCGCCCGTTGTTGGAGAATGTGAAATCATTGACCTGGCCTACACATCCCCAAAATTCACGAACGACTTTTCGCGTCTCAATGTCAACAACGCGAATCGACAGGTCATCGCAACTGAATGCAACTAGTTCGCTTGCACTACTGTATCGTAGACCAGTTATGGCAGCCATTGGATGCCAGTCAAGCTCGTCAACAAGCCGGCCGGACTCAAAGTCCCAAAACTGCCAACGAAGTTACCATCATGTCCACAGCCAGAAGAATGCAAGCGGAATATACTGACCTTTATTTTCCCATCAAGACCACAGCTGATGACAGTCTGATTCAATCCGTCAACCACTATACCAGTGACTGCTTTGATGTGCTTGGTTGCTGTACTTTTCGTGGCAGAAACGCTCGAGATACCCCTTTGAGTTTGGCTTCTAGAAGCAAGAGTAGCAGGGAAACTTTGCCGATGTCTGCCCGATTGCAAATTGAACATCTTGATATCCCCCCCTGAAGACCCAATCAATGCGAAAGTTCCACATTGTGAGATGGCAACGCTCTACCATATTAGTCGCGAGCACTGGTCAGCAAGCTATCTCATCTCGCCTTCATAACCCTGAGTAACATACCTTAACCTCAGACCCGTCACCGGTTTCAAATGTCCAGCGCCCGGCCTTCTTCTTTCCCCAAAACCACGTGCGGGCATATTTGTCACCACGGTGCCCTGTAACTATACTTTCCCATCCAGTTGTGCTCGAAGCATTTGTGTCTGTAACTTTCGGATTGGCCCAGACTGGCCCGGATGTTGTAACACCCATGCCCCCATCGCGATTCAGAGCACAAGCAATACAAGTGATCTCTGGAGCCTTCAGGTCATTGTAGGACCCAGTTTGCGTGCCACCTATTTTATTTGTTTTATGCCCAATAGCTCCCTGGGAAATCTCAGTATTTTGGCTATCTTTTCGCACACTGAAACCCCAGAGACTGTTGTCCTTGCTTGCACTCAGTAGCCATTTCCCACCAAATTCCGATCCATCGGACGAAGAAGGTAAGAATTGCAAAGTAGATATCGCAGCATAATGACCACTTCTCTGATGAAGAGGTCTGGGAATGGGTGAAAAAGGCATCTCATCGAAGATCCACGTCCTGAGCGCGTTGTCTCTCCCAGATGATACCAACACTGGCTGCCCATCCAGAAAATCGATGTGAGTCGTCCCGGATCCCGTTTCATTGAGAGATACCATATGTGCTCTTCGCAGAATGCCAGTTACCCGTCCCCCGTTGTTAAGATCCCACATTGTGATGTCGCCATTGTCTGTAGAGGTAGTCGCCATAACACCGGACCTTCTACCATCATCGCCGGCGCCAAGTCCATCAGTTCGAAAAGTGATGGAAGTAATCGATGAGGTTTTTGATAAAGGCGTCCTTAGCGGAAGAACAACCTTATCAGCCTCGACATCTTGAATGGACAGCGCGCCGCTCTTGTATGCAATTGCGATCAGTGATAAAACGGGCGTCGGCTGAAGCGAAGTTACTGCGCCAGCACCTTTGAATGCAGGCAAAATCGAGTAGAGAATCTTTCCCGTCCTGATATTCCAAATGTCGACAGCGCCATCATATCTCCCAATGAAAATCTTGTTGAGATACGTTGGCATGTTACACAGTTGGGAAGTATATATGTGTTCAGAGGTACTCCCAGCCTGCCGTTGAGGGCTCAAAGATGTGTAATGTTCATACGATGAACTTTTCCATACTTCTATGCCCTGGCTGTTGCTTCCCACTATCCACGAGCCAAAAACAAGTAATCGCTCGATTGGACCGCGGAGATTTGCCGGTACTTCTAGGGATGCAATTTTCTTTCCACGCCTGAAAACCCATATCCCTCCTGGCGACCCAGGCTGAAAGTTTCCCCAAGCCGCGAAAACCTTATCTTGCCAGGAAAATGTAGCAGTAATCACTCCTGGTGTTTGAGGCCGGCTGACGAAGACCAGATTTAGACCTCGTCGTACATCGTATGTCTGCAAAGAATACCCTACAGAGGTTGTAATTTGAAATGTCGATTTCCCCAGACGGACGCACGCGAGCGGAACGGGGGTGGGTGATACTAGCCCCAATGTCTTCAATTGGCGAAGTATGTTAGTGTTGAAAAACGATAGTCATACATCAGAATAGGTACCTACTCGGAAGGGCGAAAATATCTTGGACGCGGACGTCCTCGATTTGTTCGCGACATCGTCAGATGACAACCTTTGTCGCTTCGCAAGAGGTTGGTCGGATTGATTGATGTCAAGAGAAGGCATTCTCTGCAACATCTATATACCTATATAGATATTGTGAGGAACACAGACAATTCTGAGGGTTGGCAGGTTAATTCTATGCTCAGAAATATTTTAAGTGGAGCTGCTCTAGCTATCCAACAAGGACTTTAAATAAGAGAGTAAAAAGAAGAGAGAAATGATAGTTTCACTTCAAAAAATGATAGTCAATGCAGGCTTCATCCATAATTTTTTAATTTGTATCACTCTTTTTTTTTTTTTTTTTTTTTTTTTTTTTTTTTTATACTAACGGAGTATGAATTTATCCGAGTGGCAGACTTTCTTTCTCCACATGTTCTTGGCACTTACGAGTAGGTAATGTACATACTCTCTGGTATGGTTGATACTTATGTGCAAGAGGTTTTATCTCATTAGAGCATGTAGTCTCGTTACGCATTACTAAATCTGTAGTGGTAACTCCGCGGTAGTAGGTACTATGGGTTGAAGTAGATGGTTCTTGTAAAGATGCCGGATGCATTTGAGATATGACGCTTTTGAATTCTAGACCCATCAATTGAATAACTTAATGACTTTTTTCTTTTTCTTTTTCTTCTTTCTTCTCTCAAAAAAGTTTTTTTTTTTTTTTTTTTTCTTCTTCTCCCTCTCTCTCATAAAGGAAACGGTTTGCGATTCTTGTCCTCTTGAAGAGAATACTCACTTGGCTATTGTTCGGTGCTTTTAGAAAGTTTACCCTTCATCATCTCGAAACGCCAGCCACAAACTACTTCTTTTTTTGCGTCAACCCATGGGACGATGAGCTATAGCGCGATTCCTGACCTCTCCGAGGATTCCGACTTTAAAGATACTGCAAGTCACAGGACAACTACCGTGCCATCCTCCAACAATGCTTTCAACCTCACGGATCAATCATCGTTAAGCCAACCCCACGACTCTACATCTACTGTTATATCGAAAGGCGGATCCGATTCGGCCCTAGAGGCTCATAATGAAAGTCGCCATGCTTGCTCACCCAAAGGGTTCAGTGGGAGCGCATCTGCCAGTTCAATCATTGAAACAGAATACACATCATCACCTCTTGGGAAAATCGGTGTCTGTGCTCTAGATGTGAAGGCACGCAGCAAACCCAGCCAAAACATCTTGACCCGTCTTCAGTCAAAGGGCGACTTTGAAGTTATCGTTTTTGGGGACAAAGTAATCCTTGACGAAGCTGTTGAAAACTGGCCTGTTTGCGACTTCTTAATTGCTTTCTTCTCTGATGGCTTCCCATTGGATAAGGCCATTGCTTATGCAAACCTCCGGAAACCCTTTTGTGTCAACGATTTACCCATGCAAAAGGTCTTGTGGGATCGACGGCTTTGCTTGAGAATATTAGACCACATGGGCGTTCCGACTCCAAAAAGAATGGAGGTGAATCGTGATGGCGGCCCTACCTTAGAATCCGTCGAGCTTGCGCAGCATGTGTATAGGCTAACAGGGGTAAAACTTGACGGTCCTGATGATGGAACTGGAGGGGGTGCGCCCCGGACTCAAACCGTTTCCCTGTCTGAAGACGGAGAGTTTTTGGTCATGGATGGGAAGGCCTTAAAAAAGCCGTTCGTCGAAAAACCAGTAAATGGAGAGGACCATAATATCCATATCTATTTCCCCAATGACCAGCAATACGGAGGTGGTGGTAGGAGGCTTTTCCGAAAAGTTGGAAACAAGAGTTCTGAATATGATCCGAGCTTAGTTGTTCCGAGATCGATAGCGGAAACAGGGACAAGCTATCTGTATGAGCAGTTTCTGAGGGTGGATAATTCTGAAGATGTCAAGGCCTATACAGTCGGGCCCGATTTTTGCCATGCAGAAACGCGCAAGTCTCCCGTGGTTGATGGGCTTGTTCGCCGCAATACCCACGGGAAAGAACTCAGATATATAACCAAACTGAGTAAAGAGGAGGCTGGCATTGCCTCGAAAATCTCAAATGGATTTGGTCAAAGAATCTGTGGTTTTGACATGCTCCGCGTCGGAGAAAGAAGCTATGTCATCGATGTCAATGGTTGGAGCTTTGTCAAAGATAATAATGATTATTATGACAGGTGCGCGCAAATATTGAGCGATATGTTTCTAAACGAGAGGGAAAGGTGCAAAGAGGCTTTGGGGTTTCTGGAACCGCCCTCTCCCGATCCAAGCCATCCCAAGAAAAGCGTTTCTCACCGGCATACTTTGAAGACTTTACTCAAGTCTCCCAGTATATCGAAAATCCATGGCGACCAGCAAGGTCATGATGGCAATGAGACTGTACCGTCGGAGTTGATCACTGCAGAAACTCTCCCTCCATCGTCCGATGCTGGGGGCACAGACCATGGACATATTCACATTAACCAGAACGCCAAGGAACGAGTCACGAGCTCCTCTAACACCATATCACCTGCTGTATCAATGCGCTTTCCTACTGATGGTGTACCGCCGCCACCCCCTGCTTCTAAACACTCTTGGAAGTTGAAGGGCATGGTGGCGGTCATCAGGCATGCGGACCGTACGCCGAAACAAAAATTCAAATTTACGTTCCATAGTCAACCATTTGTTGACCTATTGAAGGGTCACCAGGAGGAAGTAGTCATCAAAGGAGAGGCGGCATTGGCAAGTGTTTCCGATGCTGTCAGAGTTGCGATGCGAGAAGGTCTTGAGGATATGGATAAGCTCAAATTGCTTCGTACGTCACTTGATAAGAAAGGGGGCTGGCCTGGAACGAAGGTACAGATTAAACCGATGTTCCGGAAAAGAAAACCAGAGGAAGTACGTGGGCAAGCACTGCCCGCTGATTTGACAACGCCTCGGGCTGAGGGACCCCAAGAAGAGCCCATATCTCCCGTTGCGAAGGAGGCCTCACCAGGGAATGAAAACCCTAACAGGTTACAAACTCGGAGCGATTCCATATCAGGTGCAACCTTCTCTAGGTTCTCGGCAGTCGAAAATGATCTAATTCTGGACAAACTTCAACTTGTCATCAAATGGGGAGGGGAGCCAACGCACGCAGCTCGGTATCAATCACAGGATCTCGGACTCAACATGCGAGATGATCTGAAGTTAATGAACAAGGAAGCATTGAGCAATGTCAGGATTTTCACAAGCTCGGAGAGGAGAGTGAGCACTAGTGGTATGTTGATAAAATTGTCTTCCACACAGACATTCATGGTTTACTAACTTTGCCTGGCAGCTCAAATCTGGGCCTGCTCATTTCTAGATCAAAAGGAATTACCAGAGGATTGTATCAAAGTGCGCAAAGATCTTCTAGATGACTCCAATGCTGCAAAAGACCTTATGGACAAGGTCAAAAAGAAGCTGAAACTACTTCTACGGGAAGGGTCTGCCCCTTCGCAATTTGCCTGGCCAAAGGATAACATCCCTGAGCCTTCTGTTGTTCTTGCCACCCTTATTGAATTGATGAAATTCCATCGAAGCATTATGAGATATAACTTCCAAAGGTTGGATAGCTTCTCTTCGGCCGATTCGTCTCATGGCCCGGAGAACCCTACTGCCCTTGATCAGTTTGATTCGCACACGGAAAATGCCGCCTTGGCTTCGATCCAGGGGCGATGGTGCGCGGGGGAGGATCCTATGCTTTTCAAAGAACGGTGGGAGAAACTTTTTGCTGAATTCTGCGACACAGAGAAGGTCGACCCGAGCAAGTTCTCGGAACTCTACGACAGCATGAAGTTTGATGCATTGCACAATCGCCAGTTTCTAGAGTGGGTATTTATGCCCCCAGATGATTGCGACGAAGGGGGAAAGAATTGTGGAGATAAACGACACGCACAGGAAGAGGAACATCTTGAAAACATCGACGAGCCTATGGAAAATTCGACATTTGCGCATCGATTCGGCTTGAAGAAGCGAGCCCGTGCATTCGAATCGATGCCGCATCTCAGAGCACTCGATGAATCTTATGATCATTATTTCAAACTTTATCCAGGCTCCAGTCCCGCCAAAGCAAAATTGGACGGGAGGCTTTCAAAACTGCGCGAATTATACAAGCTGGCCAAGGTCTTGTTCGACTATGTGACTCCTCAGGAGTATGGGATCACAGACTCCGAGAAACTAGAAATTGGGCTATTGACATCGCTGCCTCTTCTTCAAGAGATTGTCCGAGATTTGGAAGAAGTGCAGGCCTCGCAAGACGCGAAGTCCTTCTTCTATTTCACAAAGGAGTCTCACATCTATACCTTGCTCAATTGCATTTTAGAGGGTGGAATCCAGACGAAAATCGCAAGGAGCGCTATCCCGGAACTCGATTATTTGTCACAAATTTGTTTCGAGCTTTACGAAGCGAAGGACAGTGAGTCATCTACCAGCTCATATTCCATTCGCATTTCCATCAGTCCCGGCTGTCATGCTTTTGATCCTCTTGATGTGCAGCTTGATTCAAGGCATGCCATTGGTTGTGCACCAAGAAGGAGCTTGACTGCCCATCAAGATTGGAAAGAAGTTATTGAAACCCTCAAGGCCAAATTTGACACGTGAGTATTGTACTTTCCTCCTGTGATAAAATCACAGACTGACTGATACCTTCCTTACAGTGTCAAACTCCCAAAGAGCTTCATTGCTGTCAACCTCAGTGATAAACACATGTCTAACCCAGAATGGAGTCTCTGAGCTTTGTACACTACTGTTTATTACTTTGCCTTTTTTTTATTGTTTTATTATTTATTTTATTAATTTTTTTTCTTCTTGTTGTTGCTCTCCCCTATCTGTTTTCCTAACAGGTGAAGATGGTTAGATCTGTTGTGTTCCGCCGTGTACACTAGCTTGAGGCTAAAGAATTAATAATAATATACAGCTCAGCATCATGTGAGCCTGAGCCGTCATCCTCTAGTAAGCGTAAATCAAGAGTGTTGCTCCTCACGTAAGCATATTTGTTTGGTATTCAATTGAAGTTGACATTTACCTTCTCAGACAAGATGGAAACCTTTAATAAAGACACCGTCCCTGATGCCTTCATTTGCGACCTACTGGGAGATTACCTGCAATGCAACAATGAACAATGCCAGGAAACGTCTATTGCCATCAATGATATCGTCTGTATTCTTGAGGAAAGATGGGAAAACACATACAGCGTGCTATTTCTCGAAAGGCACAGTGGATCCTCTGATTCTGACACAGTCGATGATCGTGTGCGTCTCGTTAAAATCAGGACGGGACCCCTACCATCAACGTTGCTGTCGCGGTACTTATACAGACATTTACCTCGCCATCTCAGTTCTTTGTCCAGAATCCATGTCGTGATATCAACCGGCTCAGGAGCGGGAAAAGCAAAGAACATATTTCAAGATGTCCTACAACCATTTCTATCATACCTCGGGTTGACTACATGTGAAGTCCATGAAACGCAGTCTGCCCAGACAATAACAGAGCTGGCGCATTCAGAATTCATTCCTTGCGCCCAAACTGGAATAGACCAAACCATCATCCTCCTTTCTGGTGATGGTGGTTTGGCTGACATTGTTGATGCCTTCTACAATTCTTCAGAGAGCATGCTTGTTCCACCCTGCATCGGCTTAATGCCGATGGGCACAGGAAATGCTATGGCAAATTCCATCGGTTTGAATTGCCCAATAATGGGGCTAATGACGTTACTGCAAGGTAAACCGAGGCGCATACCAGTGTTTGCCGCTAGCTTCTCGCCTAGATCACAGTATATCACCGAAGAGGGTCGTGGCCGTGCTCCTATATGTAGCGACCAAGCGGCGGAGAGTGAGGACCGCAAGGTTTATGGTGCTGTTGTCGCGAGCTGGGGAATACATGCCGCGTTGGTCGCAGACAGTGATACGGTTGCATATCGCAAGTTTGGCGTCGATAGATTCAAACTGGCCGCAAAGGAGCTTCTTTGCCCATCTGACGACTCACCAACGCATAGTTATCATGCTATTATCACCTTGGCCAAGCAAAGCAAAGATACCGATGACCAGCATGTGGAGTCTATGGACCAGAATGAACATATGTACGTGTTGGCCACCTTGGTCTCAAGGCTTGAAAGGGGATTTGTGATCTCTCCGGACACGTCCCCACTCGATGGTTGTTTGAGATTTGTTCACTTTGGCCCGACGCCGCCGGATGTAGCGATGCAACTCATGAGCAAAGCGTATCAAGGCGGTCTCCACGTCCACGAAAAAGCGGTGACATATCAAGAAGTTGAGGGCTTTCGTATTGATTTTCTGGAGGAAGATCAACGATGGAGAAGAGTCTGCATTGACGGGAAGATAATAGCTGTTGAAGGAGGTGGTTGGATGGAGGTGCGCAGGGAACCACGGTGCCTGCTGAATCTTATCGCCGATGTCCCTTGATCTTCAGGCGATAGACGATAGCGTAGTACGGAGTACATAGAAAACATATATAATACAAACCACCACTAGTTTGCGATGCTTGTTGGGGATTATCTATATATGCATTTTTACACTGGTCTGGATTTCGTTCAGATGTCCTGCTCAGTGAAAGTACACCGTACAGACACGAACCTCTCTATTTCCCGCTCAGATCGTCAAGTTTGCTGATCCCATCGCACCCATGAAGAGACACGAGCCCGGTTCCGTTGACCCTGACTCTCCAACGCTAACTTGCTACTTCGCCTGAGGGTTGTCAGTGATTTCATTATACAATGAGAACTACTATGTCTAGTTTTGATGCTGATCACTACGCGGACATATTCTACTGCCCAGTCACTGGATCAGAAGCCTTCTTTACCAACCGGCAAGCATCGCTCTAGGTTCCATTCGCTCACAGGGTGGCATTCAGGTCTTATAAACATAGAGCGAGCCGCGAAAATGTTGCTATCGTATCAAGCTGGCAGCGTTCGTGTCGGAGAAGTAGTTAGGTCTGTTTTTGTACATTTACATACCCTACAGTTGCTCATCAAACTCCTTGCTAAATATCTCTGAGCCTGTCAGGTACACATTATCTTATACCCCAGCAACCGATCCCATTTACCCGCCCCCAGAAGAGCTTTATGTGAGAGTTAGGAATACGTCTGCGATTCCGTTACGGGCTGCCTACCTGCATGGCCCATATACTCTCTATGCCGCTTGTTATCCATCGACGTTCGACCCCAATGTCGCATACAGTCGGAAGGATACCGAGGGGAGTCCTCAGTTTGAGCCCTACCTTAAGGCCGGGGGGAGCTGGGATGCGACCATTACCATCCCGCAACGTATCCGTCAAACACCCACGGAGCTCGCCTCTGCAGACCCTGGGAGTCATCAAAGCGTGACCTGGGTTATAGAGATAGTATCTCAAGTGATTTTCTCTGGTACTGCAGCCGTCAATTTTGAAGTCATAGTCGGCCGTGATGAGAAATCAGTCCAATTTCTCTCTGCAGGTGGTGTATCGAGTGCTGGGTTGCCTCGGCCAGGCCAATTACACGACCATTGGTCACCTAACACTAGAGGACAGCAAGTGCTAGCTGCTACAGGTGTATACTCGAAATCCATTACACTGCGTATTGATAATACCGCCAGCCTTTGGAACAGCCCTCCTTTTCCGTCTTTTGGAGACGAAGCCAAATCGAAATTGCAAGATTCACAAGCTGCTACCGAGACATCGAATACCCAACACAAAACCACTGCGCAAAAAGAGGATCTCAAAAAAGAGAAAAAGAAAAAAGTCCACCTTGTTGTAATAACTCATGGGCTGCACAGCAATCTTGGAGCAGATATGCTCTATCTAAAGGAGAGTATCGATATCGCTGCCAAAAGGGCTCGGGAGCAGGCGAAAAAGGACCGCCAGAACGCTAACTCTGATTCAGCAAGGTGAGTGAATGAAGGCGAGCATGCCTGGTCTCATTTTTGGGGCTCTATATTCTGATATTAATATTGCAGTGTCTGACGTTGATCAACAGGCCAGGATCAAATTTTGCGGACGATGTCGATGAAGATGACGAACAAGTCATCGTCAGGGGGTTTTTTGGGAATGCTGTTCGAACTGAACGCGGTATACAGTACCTCGGAAAGCGCCTTGCGAAATACGTTTTGTTGATGACCTATCCTGATCAACCCTATTTCCCACTTAAAACTTCCAAAGCGAAACCATTTTCTAACCCTCTGACTGCGCTGAAAACCACAGAAGAACATTCTGCGAGCGGGGCGTCTGTTACTGGTGTCCATGAGCAAGGGCCGGATCAAGAAGATCATGCTTACCGGTTTACGAGCATCAGCTTCATCGGGCACTCCCTTGGCGGGCTTATTCAGACGTATGCTATCGCGTATATCCAGAAGTATTCGCCCCAATTCTTTGATCATATCCGACCTATCAATTTCATAGCCTTGGCCACTCCTTTTCTGGGGCTCAGCAATGAAAACCCTGTGTATGTTCGGTTCGCCTTAGACCTGGGACTTGTAGGTCGAACAGGTCAAGATTTGGGTTTGAGCTGGACGGCTCCGAAAGTGAGAAGTGGCTGGGGTGCCATAATTGGTGGCAGGGGCGAAGCCGTAAAGCCACAAGAACATTCAGATCCCGGATCCAAGCCACTGCTGAGGATCCTTCCCTGTGGACCAGCACATGAAGTACTCGCAAAATTTCAGCATCGGACCGTATATTCTAACGTGGTTAATGATGGAATCGTTCCACTACGAACGTCGTCCTTACTGTTTCTCGATTGGAAAGGATTAGATCGAGTCGAGAAGGCTAGAAGAGACAATGGCCTGGTTGGGACAATGGCTGAATGGGGCTGGGCAGAGTTGACTGGTGCAAACTCCAAATCGCCTAGACCTATCCATCCTACATTGAGCACCGCACATGCAAATGCCACTGAAAATACACATTCCGCGGCATTATCCCAGCGACAAAATGAACATGGAAAATTTCCAACTGAAACGCCATATCAAACTTTGAGGCAGCAGGAGTCAGAGCAGCATGACTTAGAATCTCGTGATGTGCGTTTGGACTTGACGCCCAAGGTTGACCCATCACAAAACTCGTTCGGCCCATTGAATAGTCTCATGTCCCTATTTCGGCCAAAAGACTCATCAAAAACCGCGACTGGGCATAAACAAACAAAGATCTACAAGCGCAGCCAAACTCTTCGTACAGATGACCAGTCAATTGAAGCGCAGTCGCCTACTAGATCACACCACCCAGAAGCGCCGCCTCACAGCATGTCGCACGAAGGAGACGGGTTGTACACGCCTCCCAAAACTACATTTTTCGAGTCAGCTAGCGATTTGCTTATGCCACCGCTCCCGCCAGTGGAGTTCATACTCGACCCTGCTTCGAGGCCGCGTACCATATTTCATGACAGAATCTACCATCCTGAGGACATACCAGCACCGCTGCCCGTCAAGCGACGAACATTACCGTTTAGTTCACCCCAAACCAGAAGTTCGAACGCACAACATCAATCGTCAGTAGAGTCGCATCATAGCTCACATCAGGGTAAGGATGAGTCTGAGAGTGGCCTCCGCGTTGAGGAAAAGATCGCACGGGCGTACCACCGGGGGCTGTCATGGCGCAAAGTCCTCGTCCGTCTAGAACCCGATGCACATAATAATATCATTGTCCGGCGAATGTTCACAAATGCGTATGGTTGGCCGGTAGTCAAGCATCTTGTCGATACTCATTTCGCATATACTTCAGCGGCACAGTCAAACGATGTTTTGGAAGGAGGCATGGATAGAGCGAAACCGCCTATGATAAAGACAACCCATTCAGGTAACGAGGTCAAAGGACAGACAGATAGACCTTCCCAGGAGGGCGCATGTTACGGCACGGGCAATTCTGGCACCCTGTGCGAGGTCACTAACAGCAACACCCTAAATGACCCTTCGCAATCCTTGGGTTCCCATTACGCTTATCGAGAAAGAATGAGTGCAGGTTCAATGCCGGAATATCTGGATGGGGCATCTAGCGCGTCAATTGCACCAAGACCAGATTCAACCACTGATGAGGATGAGGATGAGGATGACCCTGAATTTCGAAATAGCACAAAGACTACCAGACAGCATCCAGGGGAGATATAATAGAGAAGTGTCTTGGATCCGTATGTACGAATATTTCTATAGATAACCTATATAATTCGCATTACAGGAAGGGTGTAAATACAACGAACAATGTCCACGGAGTCATCGTAACCTCAGGGTCAGGCCTTGCGCAAACACGAGCCGACGATCAATATTCAAGGCGACCTTCGATGTGATCCCAGAATTCCTCCACGATGTCTTTCTGGCCTATTGCCTGCGGAGACGCTCTAGCAGCAAGATACCTCCTTCCTTCAATGCTGGCCTGCCAGTTTCCTGGGTTTCCATCTACAATTATCCCACCGGCTTCCGTTAAGATGACCCAACCAGCACAGACATCCCATTCCCAGCATCCTCCTTCCCAGTATAGGTCAATAGTGCCGGCAGCAACTGCGCAAAGATTGAGTGCAGCCGATCCCATGCTGCGCATCGAGCGAACCATTGCGCCGCCATTATCTTTCGTTTGACCAAGCTTTGCGAAAGTCCGCACCTTTGTGTCCCAATTCTGACCGCTACGCTCAGAGCCCCATTCGACACTGATAAGTGCGTTACCGAGGCCGCTCAAGGACTCGAGACTATCGCCTTTGAGAGGGAGGCGTGTGGTGCGGTTCATGAAAGCTCCTCGACCACGAACAGCCGAATAAAGAGTTTGGTTAAATGGGTTGAAGACAACACCCACAACCGGGATACGCTTGACAGCGAAGCCAAGAGATACACAAGCACAAGGGAAGCCGTGCACAAAATTGACAGTGCCATCGATGGGATCCACGACGAAGGTTGGATCGTCAGTCAATGGATGGGCAGGATCATAAGTTTCCTCGCCATGGAACCTGTATCATGCAAAAAAGCCACACCGAAGTATGAGTCAAGAAATTCTCCTGGGTATTATTCGTTTCTTCTGCCTGCTACCATGTAAGGGTGGACAACGCACTTATAGTGTGGATATTTTTGAGCCAGTGTGGTAGATATCATCTTTTCTACTGCGCGATCATATTCGGTGACTAAGTCCGCACCTGAAATACTTGGATCAGTTTCCTGAATTACCCCCTAGATCATCAAGGTGCAGAATTAGGGTGATTTACTGTTCTGCTTTGAGCCGGCACCATTGGTAGCTGGAAGAGCACCGGTGATAATATCACCCGCCTTGTAAGCTATCTCAATGAGAGTTTCGTGAATGTCGTCCAGATCAAGAGCTGAGGTCTCGATGAAGTTCGAGTTAGTGGTCATTGTGAGCGGGTTTCAATGGTGGGATATTGTCAGTAAACAATTGATGGGTGGTTGGTGGTGGTGGTGGTTGTTGTCTTATCGGATACTGCCCCCACTTGTTCCCCGGAAGTTGGAGACTGATAACTAACTAATTAGTTAACTAGTTAACTATGCCAATTAGTAATCATGATATGAGGGGTAACAGGAAGATGAATGAATTGATGGAATTGTAGAAAGACATGTTGGATGAGATAGATACTTACTAACAAAAAATCATATCAGATCAACTACTAGTACTACCTTGTATTAGATAGTGTTGATAGAACATGTTCTGTACATATTTGTTGACGTCGGAGAACTTTTTTATAGCCCCACCATAAATTTTTCCTACTCAGAAACCGCACGGCCGATACTCTGCGCAGACCATACATTGAATATCATTCTGGTTTCATTCGGAAACCAAGGGATATCGGGCTACTACAATGCCTACAGAACTGGAGGAGGTGAGCCCTTCCTTTATCTGCACCTGTATCTTGGGCGAGAGATATCCTAATTCATATATGCATAACCCTTTTGCAGCTCGTTGAATTTTTACACCATGGCAATACTCAAATAAGACAAATTGGTAAGCACAATAGCATTTCAGTCCAGAGACCTTATTACAGACCTTGTGTTGACTGTATATGATTCATATTCAGCGTGCGAAAACCTCGTTGGCTTCTCAACTGCGCAACCCGACCTCTTTAAACGCCATCAGCTTCTACCAGTGCGAGACTTGAAGCTCCTGGCTCGCGATTATACTGTGAGTTCCCCTCAAATTCTTTATATATATATAAAAGGCAATGGTTATTTGCTGATATGCTCTTGCCATGAACATGTAGCCCATCGCGAAAAATGCATTGACCATCTTAATCAATCTCTCGGCTGACGAAGAAGTGTTGGACCATCTTGTCAAAGATGACGCGTTGATTGAGACTCTTCTTACCAAACTGACAGTGAGTGGCCTTTGGGAATGATCTTGTCTGGCTCGTACTGATATAGTGACAGAATGTCAAGGAGCCCAATGCGGATGAAGTTTCGATGCTCCTCGCTAACCTTACTAAATCGGACCATTCGAAGAAGCTCATCACCCTGAAACGGAAAAATCCTGACTTAGTGTCTACTTCATCAAACGCTATTGACCAGTTGATGGATTGTTTTGTCAAAGGTGCCGAGGGCTCTTTGAATAAGTCTGCTAACTATGACTATCTATCTTACTTCTTCGCGGACCTTTCGAAATCCGAGGAAGGACGAGCATATTTTACTACACGGCAGGAATATGACGGTGTTGTGCCTGTGACGAAACTCACGGTTTTCACAGAGCATAAATCTACAATTCGAAGAAGGGGTGTTGCATCAACCATTAAGAATGTTGCCTTTGATATCCCATTTCACCCCACACTTTTTTCCGAGGACGAAGCGAACCTTCTTCCTTACATTCTCTTGCCGCTCATGGGCCCCGAGGAATTTCCCGAGGAAGAGTCCATGGAAATGCTACCGGATCTTCAACTGCTGCCCCCGGAAAAGCAGAGAGATGGTGACAACAGCATTATCACGACACATCTCGAGACATTATTGTTGTTGACCACCACGCGGGAAGGACGGGATAAAATGAGGGAAATTAAGGTGTATCCGATCATCAGAGAATGTCACCTTCAGGTCGACGATGAGGGCGTCCGCGAAACTTGCGATAGGTTGGTTCAGGTCTTGATGAGAAGTGAAGAGGGTGAAGAGAATCCCGATCTTGCGCAAATTGAAGCGGCACAAAAGCAAGATGAAGATGAAAAAGTTGTGGAATTATTCTAAATGCAACCTAAAAGATACCTCTTTTTTCTTTTATTTTTCTTCCTTCTTTTTTATTCTTTCTTTCTTTAAGAGAGAGAGAGAAAAAAAAAAAAAAAAAAAAAACGGTGGTTCTGGTTCATTCAATGCACGTTCTAACGTTTCTAGTGCTACGTAGGGCACCAGACGAGAGTTGTAATGGATCTGTTGCTTTTAGTCATTTGTAAAATATTTATATCACAATGCAAGATGGACTGACACTGCCTGTGAACTACTAGTTTTGCACAAAATACCTATATCAGTCGTATTAAAGGTGTCTATAATTTTAGGAATGGGTTAATATTAGTAGAAACGCCGCAATAAAGACAACTTGAATATCTCCGTGACAGAAGTCCAAATCCGGTGCCAGCCATTGTCATCTTTCCAGTTTTCTGTTGATCTCATCAAATGTAAGGTAATCCTTAGAAAAGCTGCTAAGCGCGATCGCGATAGAGTTGCGCCATGATCGAATGTATAGCATCAACCACAAAACGGAAGATTGGCTAGTAGCTCGCTTTTTCTAAGGTCATCTACTTGACAGGCACTTTCGGTATTGGAAGCAACGGCCACGTTATCATTAGGGCTAGGATTCAAGAAATCCGTTGGCCCGTGCTTGGAAGCAGCGCGCCTATCGCGAATAGCACCTGGTCCATGGAATTGTCTTAAGTCAAGGGAAATTCCGCGAAACTGAGATGTGGGTGGTACTTTCAGCTGCTGAACTTTAGGGGCGCTTTTCAATGCTTGCACAATGGGCTTGTGGTCATCCATGACAAACCCTGAACTTCCAAAACCCATAATCTCAGTCTGAGAGGGGGAGGCCAGGAACCGACCCGGAGACTGTAATCTAGCACCCAAAAAGTTGATATCCTGAGCTTCTTGCGTATATTTGGGGCCCCGCGTGGCTTTGGTAGCCAAATCGGCGGGTCGTCGGAGCTCTTGTCCTGCTTGTCCATTCTCTGTAATCGAGGGGACTGACAGATGCATCAAGGGGCTACCTCCATAACGAATAGTTGAAGCCGGAGACATGGTAAGACCAGATGCATCGTCATGTTTCTCTATAACCCACTTAGGTCCGCCGATAGTAGCATTACCGCAATGATCAAAAGATCGAAGATGGAAAGTATCGCGATGCGCGCATTTCGCAGGATTTTCAGAGCCGGACTCTGCACACCTCGAGTGCGATCCAGGTATGACGCCATCGAAACCGGAAGACTTCGACATGGATCTACCACCAGGATTGTTGTCCATTTGAGCAGTGCAAAGTTCGGGCACGCAATCTAGGTGCCTTGGTCCTGTAGAAGTGTGAGACCCCAGGTTTATGGGCCGACGGGAGGAGCTCGACAGGTCTTGTGTTTCTGCGAGGAGGTCTTGACCTACGTCGCCCTCATCTGTGCGCCATTCCCATCCAACTCCAGGTATTTCTTGAATGCGATTTATAATGGTCTGGGCACGATTGAACTCTGCTCTGATTGCGCCAACTCCTGCCTCGGTGACTGTGGCCGCGATATTATGCTCATGCTCGAAAGGGTCTTCTATGGCAAGTAGAAATCTGAGTCGATTTCCGTTGCGATCAGTCTTGGCGGTGTGCCAGCCCTTCTCGTGTTTTGGAATGATACCATCTTGGGTCCGAATTGAAATCGCATTGTTGGCCCAGTGAAAGCTACCCTGTGGCGAACTGCTTCCTCGGCTCCCATAATATGCGAAGAAACCGCGGAGAAGTTCGCCAGCAGATTGCTGGTTACCAGAAAGCCTATTGCGCTTGGAGATTGCCCTGAGCTCAGACTCATCATTCAAGAAACGAACATCATATCCATTTATGTTTGTGGCCTCCACGTGCCCGGGGAATGATCGCGGTACCGCCTGAAGATTAGGTACCAGCGGTGGATTGGCAACATTCATGAGGTAATGTATGGCCATAAGAATGTATCCGTATGAGCACATGGTTCCACGGTATGGATCATTGATCTTTCGAGCTCTTGCCCACATTTTAACAAAAACACCAATGAGGCGTACCCTCTCGTCACAAAGGGCGTAGCAACGGAGCAGCTCTGTGTTGTATAGAGGCAGGCGCCCAGAGAAGTTGATATCGCAACGAATACCCACCCCTGTCTGCGAAATTCCAGAATAATCTGTTTTATGGCGGGAACGCAGTGTACCAGACAAACACCAAGCACTTCGGTTCGGATAATAAGATTCACTGGGGTAACCGGGCTGGTGCGTTTTTTGGGTTTGACGTCTTTCACGCTCTTCTTCCATTATATTCAAGAATTCTTGAGAAGGCTTCTCACACAGTTTGATGATAGGGGTCATAGTATCGGGCAACAAGTAAGCACCGAACCCAGCATCTAGGAACGCACTCTCGAGAATCTGCGAACACTCCTTTTCAAGTTCTTTGGGAAAAGATGATTGATGCATTCTCACCATCAGGTCAAGGTCGGTATTGGGTAGAATGAATCCATTGCGTAGACTGCCGAAGCATTTGAGATCAATGGCTTTAGGTCCCACAGTATAGCCATGTTTCAGGGCATGCTTTTCAAGTGCCTCTTGTGCAACCTTGGTAAGTATAACTCGCAGGCTTTCTTTGGCTTGCAGTTCACCGTGAAGGGAACCTGGTGTAGGGGTCCGTGAAGCCAAGCTGTCCAGATAGTTAATTTGGATTTGCTTCTTGCGATGAGGATCGGACTGCTGGTCACCAAAACGCGTTTTAGGGGCATGAGCATAGGTGTATCCAGAGCCAGCTGCAGTGATACGTGGAACTGTCCCGTGGTCAGCACGAAAATCCAATTTTCCACGGCGAATATCAAGTGTGTTGTAATTTCCTTGGGAGGTTATTGCTTTCAAAGAGCCCATCCTGGTGATTTTATTTTCATATCCAGATTCGAGGGTCTTTTGATTATGGGAAGCCAATTGCGCACTGGCATGGTTCAACATTTCATGAACATGAGGTGGGAGACGCCCTATTCCAGATACTCCCGTATCAGTAGTATTAATTGCAGGCTCGAAAAGGTTTGAATCATGAGATGATTGATGCTTCGAATCCTTCGTCGATGAGTATCGGTCTGAGAATTGTGCCATATTGACAGACAATCTGTTGCTAAAGCCGCAGTGAAGAGACACAAATGAGAAAGCAGTAACCAAAAATAGACAAGGAGATGGTGATGTTAATTGATAGAAAGCATCAAATGCTATCCTAGGAATATATCAAGAGACCTGATCAGGGAACTATGACATATTGTCAAGTAAATAGTGGAAGAAAAGAAGAAGAAGAGAAGCATCCTTATTATATTATTCTAACAAAGAGCTAATACGTGATTTTGCAGCTGAAGAGTGAATAGGTTCAAGTACCACTAGTATGTAGTAGTGAACGGAATGCAACTAACTAGTTAACGTAGTCCACGGCCGAACCGCAGATCTCTGTATTCCATATAAAATGGCACTTTTTATAACCTCAAATCTCAGCCACCAATAGATATATATAAGCATTCAAAAGTTGCGCATTTATGTGGGAATACAGGGTGCGCTGCTCGCCCGTGGAATACGTTAACGTGAGCGGACAACGAGCCGGCCAGCTTGCCCCCCCCCCCACCAAAACGTATCCATTAATGTAACAAATTTGAAGCTTTTTATCACCATGCAAAAGCAATTTATTATTGAATTTAAGATGTACTAATTACAGGGCACTTCAATCTATTATGGCCTTTTTTCCCGCAATTACTGCAACGTGGCGATCGCTTTTGCTTTGCTGGTAAAGGTATGGATGCAGCTTCTAACTCCTCTCTCTGTACTGCTTTTTGCTGGCCTTCATAGCCAGTCAAACTTCCTCCATCTTGGATAAAGTATCGTGAGGCTTTTTTCTTCTCCTTTTGACGTTTCTCTGAGGCACGAAGTTGATGAACTTCTTGCTGAAGCAGGACAGCATTCTGCATAGCAACTTCTGTGCGTTTTATAAACTTTTCAAGCACCTCTCCTGCAATTAATGACGATAAATCCTGGCTTTGAAGCTGTCTCTTTTGTTTATTTAGCTGATAAAGGTTGGCTGGTGATTGTCCGAGATAAAATGACTGGTTACTATTCAATGAGGAGGGTGGGGTTGGTGTCTTTAGCTTAATTGAAGCTTTTGAAGCACTCTCTCTGGCTTGGTTGGAATAAGACCAATCGCAGCAAATCCACTGGATATATTTGATGTTGAGAAGGCTTGTTGGTGGATGCTCGTATAAAGAGATAAGAAGTCTCTTATCAATTGTATATATGCCGTTTTGAATAGCTTCACGGATTTTTTGGCCATAAAGCTTCTTTAAAGGACCAAAGCAGCTCACATCAGGAGGTTGAAGAAGATGAGAAGAATGAGGAGGCATATAAAGAGGAATAATCTTTCTGGCTGTACAGAATTGATCAAATTGAGCAGTTGCATGACTGCTATGGCCGTCAAGAATCAAGAGACGATATGGACCTGCAGCTTGAGAGGCTGTGTATCTCTCAAATATTTCTTGAAGCCATTCGAACCCTAGATCACCATTTGTCCAGCCATTCTCAGAGGTGCTAATACGATAATCCTTTGGAATATCGATATACCACTGAGATTGGTGCTTTTTGCCTGCGAATATAATCTGTGGAGGTAAAACAGTACCAGCACCATTAATTGTAATGATTGCTGTCACCCATTCTCTATTCCCAGGTTGTAGAGACTTTGCACGAGAGCCTCGTGTCTGATCCACAGATAACCTTTGAAGTAGTTGCAACACCCATTTGAAAGCCTGTTTCATCCATGTTGTAGATATCTTGTTCTAGAATACCATATTTCTGTATAGTATTTCGAACCAGCTCAAACCATTTAAGAATGACCTGGGGATCTTCACATTTGGCACGTTGATAATCATATTGAGAGGTGTATTTAGAACGAATTTCATCATGGCGCCAAACAAATCGGGATACCCATCTCTCACTGATAAAGACATGTTGGGATGGCTTCAATCATGCAGAAAGCTTTCGTAGATTGGCGAGTCTTTCTTTGCGATCAGTGGTGCCATTTAAACGGTCTTTGAAGGTAGTTGGTGGAATGTCAAAAGGCCTTTGCACAGGCATTTTTCGATGAAAATTGGCCCTTATTAAATGCCTCAATTGCTAAATTCATTCGCTCCTGCTTGGATAATGCACTCATTTTCAAGATAGCAATAAAAATAGCTTCAAAAATTGTTGAAATCATTGGATTTGTTACATTTGCTATAGCGTTTGGATGGCGGGTGGACGGGCGGCGGTCAGCTGGCCGGCTCGTTGTCATGGCCGGTTCGTTGTCCGCTTACGTTAGTTAACTTATTGGGATGCGCAACCTGTCTCTCATCTCTCAACTTTAGACATACAAACCACATCTAAGGAGCCATCTTTTATTTCCTTTTCCTAACATCGTCGCGCCAGTTTTCTGACCGGATATTTTACATTGATAATGAAATTTATTTCCAGTCTCTGATATTTTTCCAACTCCCCTGTATCATATCGAAACAACTTATACCATGTCTGCGCCTACAAACCAGTCGGACAACCGGCTTCCAACAGGTCCAAATGGTGCTCGTCCGATGAAGATACGCCGTCCAAAGATGGCCGACCCTTTAGTGCGACCGAAGAAAAAACCTGCGTCAAGACCAGCTGCTCCTACGCCATCGGTACATGCAACAGCTTCCAAATCGTTGCCACCCCGACCCGCTCCCCAGCCAATCACTTCAGTTCCTGCGAGAGATGACTTGTCAACGAACGGTTTCAGCGGTCCCTTACTATCTGAAACATATGTGGACTATCCAATAGTGACAACTAAGCGAGAATTGCGCGAAGGTTTGAAACACCATGTCGCGAGGTTTGCTTCAAAGAAAAACATAGATCCTCGAGATGAATCGCAATTCACTCGTCCCGTGCGACTTCAGCGTCGGGACCCCCGTGCCAAAACCCATGCAACAAACGAAGAGAAGTCTCAAAACCCCGAGAAGTTCCTAGACTCCCAACAAATGGACGAAGCAGAACGTGAAGAGTTGGAGGTCAAGAAAGCTGCCCGCGAGAAGGAGCGCGCTGAGAACCTTGCTCAGATTGCCCCGTCTGCCGGATCAGCACCGAAGCGGGCGAACATACCGAAACAGAAGACCCAACAGGTTTACAAGGCAGAAATGACACCCGAAGAAATTGCCAGAACACGGATCAAATACGAGGAAGCTTTGCCTTGGCATCTGGAGGACTTTGATAACAAGAATACCTGGGTAGGGAACTACGAGGCCGCTTTGTCAGAAACACACGCGATATTCGTACTTGAGAACACAGGAAAGATGAGAATGATTCCGGTGGAGAAATGGTACAAATTCAATGTCAAAAACCAATTTAAGGCGTTAACGATCGAGGAGGCCGAGAAGTTCATGGCGAAGAAAATCAAAGATCCGAGATGGTTCATGGAAAAGCAACAAGAACAGGCAGAAAAGAAGGAACTGGAAAGCTTTGCAAAACAGCGTAAAGTTTACGCCGGAAAACAGGGCACTCCAGGTGGTGGGGAAGGCTTGGAAGCAGATGAAATGGATTTCGAGGAGGATAGGTTTGCGGACGACGAAGAGCATGATGATCTCTTTAATGAAGATGAGGAGGCAAAGACATCCGAAAAGCGAATCAAGAAAGATCAGCTGAAGGCGAACGTCTTCGATCTCAAAGACGAGAGGGACTACGAAGAGGAGGAGCGTAAGGAGAGGAAGGAAAAAGAAGCTAGACGTGTGCAAGGGAAGGGCGTTCGGAAAGCGCTCAAGAAGAGGGAGAAGAACTATGACTATAGTAGTGGTTCCGATGTGAACCCATACTCCGACGATGAGGTATGTTTTCCTTTTTTATCGCCATTGCCGACAGCGTTTCACTGACGCTGTGACCCCACTTCACTAGAGCTCCGATGAAAGCGAGGAAGAGCGGACAAAGGAAGAAGAACGGAAAGCCGAAGAGGAAAGAAACAAGAAGGAGTCCGCTGCATCGACGAAGGGCGGTAGCACGCCCTCAGGTCGCCCTAAGCATACGAACCCCTTGAAAAAGGGTACAGCCACGCAACCTCGGAAGCGATTGGGATCCCCTAATGCTTCGGATGCCAGTGGCACGGATACCTCTCGCAAGAAGACGAAGAGTAAACACCCTTCAACCCAACAACCTACATTGCAACCAGGTTCTCGCCCTCTTTCTCCCGCCGCACCATCTTCGGCGCCGGTAAGTTTTCACTAAACAAATACCCAATAGGTGAGGAAGACCATTAACCTTATCCTTATAGGCTGGAAAGAAACGCGTAAGAAATGTTCCTGGCGGTAGTCCAGGATCTACCAGCGATGTTGATGGGGGCGCAGCTTCGGGAGGGGAAATGAGCGAGAGCGGGAAGACGAAGAAGTTGAAACTCAACCCCCCTACAGCCTCTTCACAGACCGGGACACCCCAAGGGTCCAGAGCAGGTAGTCCAACGGCTATAGGAAGTCGAGGTTTCACGGGCAGTCGTGCTAGTAGCCCCGAGGGAGGAGTACCGATGAGAGGCAAGTTCTTCCTCCCCCTTTCCTGTTTCCTTCTTCCACGGCGCTGGTTTTAAGGAAATTGTATGCTGACATTATATCGACACAGGCCAAACTCGAGTATCTACTCCAGTCCCTTCTGGCGGCAGTCAGGATTTTCCGACACCGGTCGAAATCCATGCTGCCATCCCCGCGTCCGGTATTCTTAGCAGTGACCTGCTAAAGGTTTTCCGTCCTCGGATCGGTGAATCCAAGGAAAACCATCGGAGATTTATTGCAATCGTCAAAGATGTGAGTGTCTACGGCAAAGAAGATAGGCTGTTGCGGCCCGGGAGTCTGAAAGACAGTTAAGCTGGACCCGAAAGTTCGTCTACAGTAAATTGCAACGAGGCCCTGGAGCCCAGTTCGGATGCGACAGGCCAGACTAAGGCGGTAATTTGTACTTAGCATCTACTAGAAAATGTCAAGAACATATTGACAATAATATACAGTAACAATTGGAGATTGAACACTGTTACAAGTTGCTTAGAATATTTGGAAGAAGATTGTTAAGAGATTAAATGGTGATATTACGATTCAAGGAAGTGACCAGCTCTCATTCATTAATCAGACAAACATGATTCATTATCTATAATCGTTAAAAGTCTAACATGATTTTGAATGAGAAGACAGCAAAATGAAGAACATATCAACATATAAAACCAGCAGCACTATTCTTTTAGAAACACATTACAGAAACTAAATTGGGGTATTGGGATATGGTCTCTAAGCAGTTGTGGTACCCTCGGTATCGTGTTCATATTTCTCCCAGTTGGCCAAGATATGAGCGATCCTGGGGGAGTTGGTGAGACGGTAAACATCCTCGAAGTACTCCTTGGTGATTTCGAACGGACGAGCAGTGACGTTGGGGATGTACTTTCCGATCAACTTGCTGGGATCAATCGTAGTCTTGTTAATCTTCTTGAGGAGGAAGGACCGGAAGGGCTTGACACCGGAACGCAAGAAGGTGCTGTGGAAGGGCACATCAATTCCACGGAGGGGAATGGTAGCAAATCCACGCTCAAGCGCAATCGGCCTGGGCTTGGATTCAGTCTGCTTTTGGCATTCTTGGATGATCTTCACCAAGTGAGCCTTGACATCCTCCAAAGACATGCTCTGCATAAGAGCCGGGATGTCAACGTTCTGAGCCTTCAGGTAGTTGAGAACATTGGTAAGGCAGTCGAGCGCACGGAGCTAAGATTAATTATTAGCGAATCTTGCCACGAAAAAAAAAAAAAAAAAAAAAAAAAAAAAAACTTACATCACCGGCAGCGACATACTGCATGTTGGCAACGTTGTAGTTGACAATTTCCAGAAGCCAGCCAGTCTGCTCCGAGATATTTCCGACCACGTACTGCAACGCTTGCTCGGTGAAGGTCTTGGAGATACGGCTAGGGTTGACAGCACACATCGAGTAGTTAGAGCGGCCCTGCTCGTCACGCTCGACAGCCACCTGCATTGTCAAACCGCGGTAAAACACCACGGAAACCAAGCTCTCAATGGGCATAACATCAGCAAGCGCAGCAAGCGCAGAGTATTCACCAAGCGAGTGACCAGCAAAGCTGCTGTCCCTCTGGACAAGACCCTTGGAGCGCATGTCTTCAAAGCTTGCCTTTTCCATCAACGTCAAGGCGGGTTGCGTGAACTGAGTGGCCGAGAGGAGGCCAGCAGGCGAACGGTAGGTGTAAGAGGCGGTGTTCTCATCAATCCCCTTGAAGATCTTCTCGGACTTGATGGAGCCGTCTGCGTTCACGGACTCGAAGGTCATCGACATGTAGTTCTGACGAATGGCTTTACCACGGGGACCACCAAAGTAGACGGTCAGCTCCTTGGGGTTATTCTTGACAATTTCAATGATGGAAAGACCGTAGTTCTCCAGGAAATGGCGATCCGCACGGTCCCAGACTTCTCTGGCAACTGGGCTGTTGTTGTACAGCTCCATACCCATTCCCTGCTCCTGCGAGCCCTGACCGGTGAACACGTACGAGGTGGCGGGTTGCTCGACCTCAGCTTCACCCAGAAGAACCTTGTCCTCGGTCTCCTTGTTGCTCGTCTCGACCTTGATGATCTTGCGACCTGCGATCATACCAACATGTTGCAGCTTGACGGTAAGCACGTCGTTGGGCAGAACCATGCCAACTAGTGAGACGTGGAAACCGCGGACACGGCCGATGTTGTTCTCCGCGGCCCAGGTTTCCACGAAGCTACGGACAGCAGCACTGGAGTACATGCCATGCGTAATCGTACCGGGAAGGTTGGCGTAGCTGGCGAAGACACGCGAGACGTGGATAGGGTTGTAATCCCCGGAGACCCGCGCATAGGTCTCGTTCGAGGCCGGGGCGCGCAGAACCAGAGGGGTCTTGCCGCTCAGAGGGATAGGGTTCTCAAAGTAGACGGGCTGCTCGATGGACGTGCCGTTTCGCTCGAGATAGTCGATGACGGGGTTTCCGTGGGAGTCCCCAGCCTCGTAGTCCACGGAAGCCACCTGAATGACTTCCTTGGTCGGAAGCTCCAGAAGGACCTGACCGATCGTCTGGACGTGACTGAAGACAGACTTGTTCTTGAACCGGATCAGACTCTGCAGACGGAAGGTCAAGGTCTGGCCGAGGAGTTCAACATCCGGCTCGTCCAGACGGAACCATTCCTTGGAGCGGAGGATGGCGACATCCCGACTAGTGCCCAGGTGAACTTGCATTGGCACCTCATCCTT